CTTAGCAAGTATCCTCCATCCTCTTCAGCCGTTAGGATTTTCAGTGCTGGCGTACAACACCCATTTTCTGGGAAATGGCTCAAAACTAACTAACACCTTATTCTCTTGATGCTTTGAAGGTAGTCCTCACTACCACAATACCCAAGTTCCACATGATCATCTCAACAAAATCTCCAGAGGTCAAGACATGTAGTTAAACTCTATTTGTGAATGGGGAGTCACAAGACAGAAAAATGAAGCATTCTGGAACAGAAAATTAACCTTTACTGAAAGTTGGGCAGTTCATATTGCATTTAGTAAGAGGTAACGTAAAAAAGAGCATGCACACAAAAGGTTATGACGCAGAAGCTCCAAGTGCAGGATCAGACAGAATGTACACTGGTGTGAAGAATGATTTTTTTCCCTATTTTGGTTTCAGGTTCACAATACACTGGGACTGGATCATCCTTTCCTCTGTACGCCATGCACGCAAAGCCTACAATCTGTTGACAGCCCTTACGGCCTAACACTACTCTGGAAGGCTCTCACAACTGACCAGTAAGATTGCTCTGCTCTCAGACTCAGCATTAAAGGGACACAGAGGTCAATTTTCCCTTTTGACTACAACCGCTATTTCCCACTGCCTGAGTTCTGGAATGCTTTACCAATAATGCGCATTACCTTTCCATGCAGGTCAGATTCATTCCCTCCTCCAGCGTTTTTACATATCCATGGACTTTTCCCACCCATGTGCAGCAGTTGCTTCTTTTGTAAGGACAATATTTCACTTAATACATAAAAAACCACTTAATAAATGCATTTCCAATAATATAGTGAAGAGTGGTACTGGAGACGTTTAAATACTGAGACGTTATTCTTTAACGCAGACTTTTTTTTTTTTTTTCCTTGGATAAAAATAAGGAAATTGGACAAACTGCTTATCTTTCTTAAGAGACCATACTGTTGCTACCCACATCAATAGATGCTAAACTCACTGAATACTAACAATCTCCAAAGAAAACAGACATAGAGAAGGAGTTTTCTAAGATCAGAATAATGAGGAGCAGCCAATCCAACCTATGTGCTTACAGCTGAGACTAGAGCCAATTGTTACAGAAAGGATAGATCAGATACTGTGAAAAAGCTCTCATGACAAGGATATCTCTACGACTTGGGACTGGGAAACTGGAAAAGGCTTGATTGCTCTGTCTCTGTGTGTGTATGTGTGTACATGCATGTACACAATCTACACATATTACAAGGGGAAAAGATTTTACTTCAGCATCTATGTTAGCCCTTCCTGACCTTTTACTACCAAACATTTGTACGCAAGCTCAATGAAAGACAAAACCAACTCATTTACACATTTTCATTTCAGACACCCTCCAGTTACTCCCCCTGCCCTTCTCAAAATGATACTCTTCATGGACTTGGTAACAGCTTACAATATACATTGCACACTGTGCCATTTGCAAGTGCAGATTTAGGAATAAGCATCTCAGATAGATAGTCAAGGCACAAATCACGTTTTTTCTGGCCTTCATACAGCCATGATAAATAAAAAAAACCCCTTATCTGCAGAATCCACTCAAAAAGAAAAACATGAGTGGGAAGGCTTCATTTTATACTTTTCACTTTAATAAAAAAATGCAACTCTAAGGCTTATGTTACCTTATGTCCCATTTTGAGCCCACATGCAGAACAATCTCTCCCGGTAAGGTAATTATTACTACCAAAAAAGCTCAGGTTGACAATTTCTCCTCTGAAACTCACAAGGGGAAAACGAAGCTTCTTGTTTCAGACTATCTTGTATTCCACCACTGCATGCTATAGTGCTTTATAGCCAAAGCCCTCCTCTGAAACAAACTGAACCATTATTCCCACAAGGGGATCTTGCTTTCACTCTGAAAAAAACTTCCCAGATTTACCATGAAATCCCACCAGAGCTCAACACAATGTGTGCCTGGAATAACAGCACACCATTTCTGCAATGAAAATAAATGAAACCACGCATTCCTACTCCGCAGGGGAAAAAGCAGTTCTTCCAAGACAAGCTTTACAGGATGTCCAGACTCGCACACTGAGCATACTGGACAGCAGGTATTTAATTGCTGGTATGTTCTCTACACTTTAGTCTCTTGAGTTTATGTGTACAAATCAAGGGTTGGGAAAGGAAGACTAGTCCAGCTGACTATTGCCAGACTTCACTGCTGATGGCTTAATCCCATCAGCATCTCTCAGTAAAACTCATTTTGTTAAGTAATTTAATATTTAAACCAGCTACTACTAAATGTACTTATATATACACACACACATTTACTATATACCCCAACAGACAACGCAACCGACAATGCAAATAAAGGGCATTCCATAGCAATCACTCCCTAAGAAATGAAGAAGTGATTATTTGCCAAAGGGAACATGCTCAGGGGAAATTCTTAACTTCCTTACTCCTGATGAGGTTTTTCAGGCAGTAGGAAAAGACAAATGGTCTTCTGATTTCTGTCATAAGTTGTTTTGGAATGGTGCATGATTTTCTCTCATTTTAATGGGAATTACTGATTAATTACATACATGCTTAAGATCATATACATCTGAAAGGCATCATTACCGAAACAGAAATTTCATTTCACTTGAAAGTTACCTGTAATAAGTGTGAAAAATATAGAAGTTAAGAAGCTGAAGACTTTTCCTATTCTCTTCCCCCCCGCCCCCCCCAAAAGGAGTCTGGACTAGTTAGACAATTTTTTTTTTGAAGTTTTTTCCCATTCTACTTGACCATAACTCCGACTTTTTTGGCCCTCTGATCCAAGAGCTAGAGCTGGAGTCTACAGTTTTGCCTCTGGCAAAGCTCTTGCTGAAATCCATGGTAATCCTGTGAGCGCAGTCTGCAGGTTCAGGCCCCTCAAAGCTTCAGAGTGCTCAAGACAGAACTCTCGGCATTGCGAAGACTGACACACCTGATTAACTTAGCCACTCTACACAATGCTGGCTTCAAAACCAATTCAGAAAGTACAGCTATGCAAATTGCCTAAATGAAATATGAATTATGACTTCTAACAACAGTTCCATTTTTATTAGGGCACTATAAAAAGTGAGAGAACTGCTTTTCTGCACGTTCATTTTATTTAATGTCACGTTTTATATTCACAGTGAATGCTCAAGACATCAAGCGAGGCGAGAGGCATCAAGTGGCAACTCTGTGTAAAGGCCTGGTCTGTGAAGTGGTAAGCAGTCAAAGACACACTTCCAGTCCTTTTGAAAAAACATGTGGATGTTACAAAGCTACAGGAATGTTACCATCTGCAAAAGACAGCACTGCTACTTAAGAAGAAGAGACGGACAGTCATAGAGCTATCTTGTGACACCTGTTTTTAAGGACACAGAAGAACACTAAGGAGCACAACAGCCATAGTCCAAAACATCTGCTATTCTGTTGCTATTATTAAAATGTCAGTACATCCTGTCTCCAAACCCACAGTATGACAACACCTTTATTACAGATCTCCCTTCTCAGGACTCATTCTTTTGTAAGAAAATCCTTCTGGACTGAAATTCAGACAACTACATCTAGGCTGGAAAGGCAACCATGCACAAATTTTACTTTGGGCATTATGAGAGAATTAAAAAAAAAAAAAAAGGAGTTTTGAATTCCATTGCCCCTACTTTCATCGCAGTGCACTTTACAGTATTAGGCCCACAACAAAATGTCGTTAAATGCCTTTTGTTCATCTGGTGATATTCCCGTCTTTCAAAGCTGAAGGTTCTCAAGTGCAGCAATGAAACTCCAGTTCCATTAGTCCCTTTTGTTTGAAATAAAAAGCAAGACAGCTACAGAAAGATTTGTGACATCCACTAGAAATTGTTGCATGATTAACATTCTCTTCCGTGACCTTTCCATCCAAAAGCACCACCGTGTTCACTATATCGTAAATTAGAAAGGGATTTCTTGCCTTCATCCTTCCTCCTGTTCCTACCTTCAAAACAGGAATGAGAAACTATTTAAATAGCACACCCCACAGAACCTCCTACAGTAACATTTACCTTTGCATATGTATGTAATATTCTCCCATGACTGATCTATTGTGCACTCTGAAAAATTCCTGTCTCCATTAAAATAATATCCTTCTTTACACTGATAGTACGCTCTGCTCCATAGAGTGGTAGCGTTGTGCCAGATCATTTCTGTGTGTGGAATCTGCAAAGGTTTGCCACAGTCTATTTCTGAAACAGAAAAAGAGGGTAAGAAAACCTGAAAATGAAAACCGTCAAGGTATATCAAAGTGTTTAAGGAAGAGAGATGAATTGTCCCAGCAAGCAACACTTCACTTTTTTCCACTTCCTACTGATTTCTAGAAGTCAGGCCAGCCATTTAGAACCCAGAATTTTGTGACTGGAGACTTTCTAGCAGGGTAGGGCATTTATCCTGCAAGACGAACCATAAAAGTGTCCTGTTTAGAAATGGAGAACAAGGATCTCTAAGCAGATTTTTACAAGTGAATCTATCTTCCCACAACACTCTCTTATCCCCCACATACTATTTATTCCTTTATTTTACCTATCATCAGTGACAACAGATCTGAAAAATGACACATGGTCCAAGGAGTGACATGGAAGAACAGCATCAAGAAGTTTATGTTCCTTTGCCAGCAGGTTTAATTGAAGCTTTGAAAAAAGGAGAAGCTCCTACAGACAATCAGAAAGAGCACTTCTGGGGGAAAATTTGATGGATTATTCAGACCACTGTAGAGATAATTAGAAAGCTGCGATAATGCACTTATAAATTAATTCATTTGCGCAGTTGTTTTCAGGGGATTCATAATAAAATTAGGGAACAAAAAGAGTGAACCATCAACTCAATGGAAGAATATTATTTAGGTTCAAATCCACAATGAATGTTACACCCCAATAAAAGATTCTGCATCACTTCATCTGTAAGAAGTTAACAATGTAAGAATTAAAATCTTACCTTCACTAAAGCTTATATGCAGAAAACAAGTGCTTTTAAAACTGTTTAATAAATAATCTTAAGCAATTCTGAAATTCTACTCAAAAAAAGGAAAACAAAGAAGTAAAAACCAAAGCGTACAGAATCATGATCTGTACAACCTTTAAAGTTAAACATATGTATTGCAACGGGCAATACATCCACCATCATGACTACCTTCCTTTTCATAACCCAATGTGTATGAATATATCTATCTATTATAAATCATCAGAACAAGCTTTAGAATAACTAATGCACATGCAAAGAATATGCTTAACTTATAGAAGGACAGTATGTGATGAGATACAAAAATTACTGCTGCTTAACTCCAGCTATCTGCCCATAGCCATCCTGTAATCAGATTGAAAAGCAGAAATGCAGAAGAATGTTTCTGTGTAACATAGCCAGCCTTCTATTTAGACTGGTGACTCAGAATATTAAAGAAGATTCTAAAAGTAAAGAGTGGTTGTAACATAGATGTGTCACATTCGAAAAATTATTACATTTGATGGCAATGAACAGAAGACTCAACCCCGCTGGATTGAGCTGAAAAGATATTAATCATCCAGTGAACGGAAAAGTGAAGTTGTGCCAACGTAAAAACTGACTAAAGACTGTAATTATCCTGAGGTCACATTAATTAATAATATGAGCTCAGAGTAACAATACACTAGAAATTTTGTTGGGCAAAATACTTTTTTTTAAATGTACTTCTGTGTTTCTTCTTACCAAGGCACTTGTTAAGCTATGTTCTTCCAAATCATAGCAACAAAAGGGATTTATGATTCACGTCAAATAACAATAGCATACTTGAGCAATCATAGTTTGCAACTGGAAACTGTCCAAATATAGGAATTTTAAAGGGACACTAACTGCTAACACTAATTCAATTTCTGAGTAGCAGCTTCAACCACAGAGTAGATATTGAGCTAGAAAAATGGCAGCAATTTAGGCTGAATTTTCATCTCATGGAAATCCCAATGCCTGACATGCATTGGGATTTTGTCCTTAGAATGTTAACTTTTAACAATTGATTGCAACTTCATCAGCAACACAGATTAAAAAACCCTGTTTAATATATGGCTTTTGTTTTGTGACTGAACTTCATATGCCAGAAGATTGTATAAACTGAATGCCTGAAGAGGATGTCTCTATTTAATGACTGCTATTTATTACAGTGGCTGAAACAGTATCTATGCTAAATAAATCTGAAGGCAGATTTGATTTACCTTTGCACACCAAATCAGCGCCATCCCACTGTCCTTCGGCATTGCAGACTGCAGTCTGATTGCCACTTGCAATGAAGTAACCATGAACACAATTGTAAGTAACTTCACTTCCGTACGTGGTCCCTCTTACAGATGCTGGATGTGCATTTAAAACAGAAGGTGGAGCCCCGCAATCCACACCTAGGTAGAGGAAGAAAGAGGAAGAATAAACTTGTTAGTCAAGCAGAAGTAATGATGGCTGCACTCCCATGAGTATTTCTTTCATCGTTATCAACCAACCCACTTCTCCCGTGGTGATCCAACACTCCTCATACCCTCTGCAACATCCACGCTGTGACTGAGAGTGCTGTAGCTACTCCAGAGCTGCTTCCGAATAGAATTACTTCTCTCTGCCTTTCTCTCAGTATGGCATGCTAAATCTGTGACTCCTTCCTCAGCCTAGCTGCTTATATACAGAAAATGTCCGGGTTTTTTTTTAATCTTTAAGATTCTCCTGGTTTTACAAACCTGATTACTGGTGGCAAGCTGGTTCTATACCATTTGCAGCGAGCAACAGTCAGAGGGAGGCAGATGAGCAGAAACTGCCTTTAGGAAGCAAGATTTTCAAAAGTGCACAAGGACCAGAGAAATGCAAAACCATCAAAAAGGTTACAACATACAATACAAAAGCTTCCTTTTAAAGCAAGAGTCTACATGGTGTTCAAAATGCATTGTTATAGTTGCTCTATTCACAAACATGCCGAGTTGTCATTTATAAATGCATAAAACAAAGAAGTAGCACAAAAAACAATTTGTTTGATATGATGCCCATTTTCTAAGCTAAGCAACCATCTAAAAAGCTTTCATATTAGCATGACACAACGCTCACATTCAAGAGTTTAACTACAACTCTTCATGTACATCACATCTTCCCATTAAACTATCTGACTTGTCATGTCAAGACAATTCTTTTACTAATATTCAAGGGAAGCTATACTCTTCAACAACACATTACATCCACATACTTCTATTTAAATAAAAAAAGAGGGATCTGCTCCACTTACAGTACCCTGATGTTAGGTCACACATCTTACCAAGTTTGATCTACCTTCAATGGCCAGTTTCATCGTGACTATGTAAAATAAGCTCCTAAATTATCACAGGAAGGAAGACAAAAGACAAACTTACTAATTTTCCTGTAAATGAAGATACTACACCCGGCCAGGAGAAATTCTTAAGTTAGCGATAAAGGCTTATCAGGGAAACTCTCAGAGTTTAAAGAATTATTTAAAGGTGCCTTTACTAATATTAAAAAATAAAACCAGACTTACTGGTTTTACAAAGAGAAGTCCTAAAATCCAGGAAAAGAGCTTGCAATACAAAGGGGAAGTAAGTTTGTCATTTCAGACTCATGGGCTGTTTCTTGGTGTTTGATGCATTTTATTTCAACTAACCATGAGAGATGTGCTCAGAAACTCCAACCTGACCTACTGTTTGATTGTAGAAATTAAAAAAATCACATGAAAAAGCAATCACTGAAAAATACTAATAAAAAACAAATGTGCCAACAAGTCACAAAGGCTGCATTCCACAAGCTTTCTTTAGGGACCTCTTGAGACTTTGGGCACTTCCTTTTTGTTTTCAAATTCACCGTCCTTTACTTATTTTGGGGGGAAAATGGTATTTCAATTGTTTTATTTTTATGCCAATAATTTAGTATTAAATTGTTTTATCTTTCCTTTCTTATGAATTTTCTAGTGATACTTAATATTTCATTTTTCCCAACCACACTGATTTAGCATCCTTATTCTAATTTATTCACTTCCCATAGACATACATACAAACATTACATTTTTATCCACTCTCAAAGGGAAAAAAAAAACAAAAAACAAAAAACCTGCCAGAAAATAATTAGAAACCAAGAGGGCTTTTGTATTTTGAGAGAAGGAACTCTCTTCACTAAGTGGTAATTTTCAGGATGACAATTCTCCCCTGTAGAATTATTATACACAGTGTAGTTTCTGTTAGCTAGCACTTCAAGTGTCATTTAACTAATATACAGACTTTCTAACTACTCACAGGAACACAAAATCCTTCACTTGTAAGCAGTAATATTTCAACAGAATGGGCAATTAGAACACCCAAGCAAGTGGAAGTTTTAAAGATGCTCACGGGAAACTTTACACTTCAGAGACATGAAAGCGTTTGCTCAGGCACAAATGCTCTTAAAATCATGAAGACTATCCAGAGATGAGGGGTGGCATGATGTGTCTCTTTTGCACCTACAGTCGACCTTAGGAAAAAACTTAACAAGCTGTCAGAAAAAATTGTTCTTTTCATGAGAGGTCACTGATGCCTTCCAACTCAGTGGCCTCTCCCGTGAAATGCTACAGAAATCTAGCTGTTTTCTACACCCTGTTCACAGGCACAAGGACACATTGCAGTGTCTGTAAAAATACAAGAACCAGCATTGAAAATGTCATAACACTAACAAGAGGAGGTTGGCACAATTTTATAACCTGTTCTTTTCTTCTTTTTTTGGAAATACCCACATCTTGAAAAATTATCCTTCAGACTGAGGAAACAGTCTACTGTCTTTCACAAACACACTTCCCCATGCATAAACCCCCTTAATGAAGAATTTAAGAAAGATTTAAGACCCTTTTCTCCTTTACAGTTTAAAATGGCAGGTTCCCAAGTTTCATTTGCAGTGCAATATGAGAACTTCCCTTCGTTGCTGTAAAACCCTTCTTTACATTCATAATGAACCACACTTCCTGGTAGCAAGCTGTAGTTCCCCATAATGTAGCCACGCTTCATTTCAGGAGGGGAACTACATGCAATTTCTGCAAAGAGATTGGGTTAAAAGATCTCACAGTACAAAAATCACAACACACGACCACTTTAAGATTAGCTGAACTGGATGGTCACATCACAAAATACACCCAACCTGATGAATCTGAGGGGTCACCAAATGGGTAGATGAGCGTTGAAGAGTTGTACTGGCCACAGCTGGAGGAACACAGTGATCCAGGCACTGAGCTGTATCTTTACTAACACATAGCTGGAGCCATTCACAACACCAAAGAGGAGATACTGCAATGTGATGGTGCTTTGCATGTGCCAGTCTCATTACAGCAATGGCTGAATGATCCTTCAACACCAGAGGAAAATTTCAGGCCCCAATGCACAGCTTTATTTCCTAGTGCATGGGAAAGGTAAAGCACCGTGGACAGGCTGAAATGAAATGGTCTGCCCCTCAATTCCTCCATCTCACTGAACTAGCCTGCATACAAAAGCTACATTCCTTCAGCACAGCCGCTTGACAGGGCTCCCTTGTCCGACTCGGCAAGCGACAGTCAGTACAGACACACTACTTTACCATAGCATGTGGAGGGGGGGGTCAGTGAGATAAGCAGGGTTATCAGCAATTCTGGCAAAATGAAGCGGAGCACTCCAGTTAGAAACAGTGGACGAACTACAGGCAGTGAGCTTTACTGACAGTTCAGAAATGAGAGCTGGATATAATCAAGGCAGTTCCTTCCACCTGGGATGCCTGGGCTCATTACATACTCTGACAGCTACACCTTACACTGCTAGCACTTTCAATCTGTGAAAACCTACACTAGAGAGGAAAGGAGGAATGGTTTCAAATAGAATTTTGTTTTTTTTAATGGCAAGATAAACAGAACAGTTTATTTATGCAGGTGGCATACCACGTAATAAATAGCTAAACTATTATTTTATTATTCCTCTCCCCTGGGCTTGTTTCATACATCCGACCTCTCCTACCAGCTATTTTTCCTCTCTTCCCTTCCCCTTCATGCAGTGTGATTATATAAGCAAGTGGATTACACCACACTTCCTTCCCATTCAGAAACTAACTACATCACCTTCACGGCATTATTAAGCTTCTCTGACACCGCACACCTGAACCACTGCTGAGAGCCTGTAGAAATCATATCCGGCGTCAACTCTACCACCCAGACATCATTGGACAAACAGAAGAAAAAAAATCATACAGCAGGCAAAGTCCACAGAGGGCTTCTGCCCTGCAGACTTAAAAGCACAGGTCAGTGCAGGTACTACTATATCATGTAAGATCTGATTTTACCTGCTAGCAAAACCAGCACCCACAGATTCTCACCTTTGCATGAAACTATGTTCCCATCTGGTTGAAAAGAACGCTCTCCATTTTCTAATTTATAACCATCACTGCAGTAACACTTGTAGCTTCCTTCAGTATTCATGCATCTTGCATTGCGACCACACAGCCCAGACTCCTCACATTCATCTATATCTAAAATTCAGAGAAAAATATACGCACTTTGTAATAGTTTTTTTAATTAATTAGTGTAGGATCCCAAGCTTAAAACAAATACAGCATTCCATGAAGGGTTCTATGGAGCTTCTGATGTCTCTTCTGGGAAACAAAGGAGCTTATCATTGCCTGGTGTTCAAACATCCGGAAGGAGGAGACTCTCAATTTTGTAGATAGCTATCTTTTAAATTGTTTCTGTTTTACCTGACAAATAGTTTCCAATGTTATCTCCTGCTACAACAATCCCAGAAAAATCCCCTATCTGCAAACATCTTAATCAGTTACAACAGTTCATTACTGTAACAAGGAACTGGCTAATATTCCACACTGAACACAAATATGACATTCTGGGGGAAAGATAAGTATCATCTTGTTTTCTTTAATCTAGCTGCTTCTTCTGGAAAGGTTATTGCTTGAATGTGACTGTGAAACAATGATTTGTAACACAGCAAAGAATGTAAAATGGATCTAATTCACAGCTGTTAGAACCTAGATGTCAGGTAAGTGTTTGCATCCACAGCAGAAAATGCTCTGATATAGTTTTAGAAAGTAAGTTCTAAAGTGATGGGAAAAAAAGATTTGTGCAGTAGAAAATTAAGTTCTGGATTCCTGGTGCTCAAGATTCTTTGTGATGTCTACCTGTACAGTTCGTGCCATCATTGGGAATAAATGTCTTGTTGTTGTTGGAGGCTCGGTATCCATCAAGGCAAACACAGTAAAAACTACCGTGTGTATTATGACACAGTGTATGATTTCCACAGATCTTGCTGGCTCCAATCTGGCATTCATCTTTATCTGTCAGCACATTTAAAACACATCAGAGAAAGATTAACAAAAGTAGAATAGTCTTCCCTCCTCACTCATTCTTGTGTAACCAGACTTTCCCTTACTGTTTTTCTTTCTAAGTTATTTGGGATGTAAACACTGCTAGTAAGCTGGAGTACTTAGACCAACAGAGGTTGTTGTCCCTGGATGAAACTGTGAATAAAGTTTCATGACACAGCTGGAGTTGATCCAAGAGCTGTTGAAACCAGAGGGCTCTGCTCTTCCCTTCTGCTCTTCCTTACGGCATGCACTGGCTGCAGCACTTGATGTAGCCTGTGCTGATCTTACCCAGCTCACTCAACTGGCAGAGAATTAACATGGCAAAATATGCAGCTCATCTTCTCCCTCAATAATCATAGAATCACAGAATAGTTTGGGTTGGAAGGGACCTCTAAAGGTCATCTAGTCCAACCCCCCTGCCGTGGGCAGGGACATCTTCAACTAGATCAGGTTGCTCAGAGCCCCGTCCAACCTGACCTTGAATGTTTCCAGGGATGGGGCATCCACCGCCTCTCTGCGCAACCTGTGCCAGTGTTTCACCACCCTCAGCGTAAAAAATGTCTTCCTTATACCTAGTCTAAACCTACCCCCCTTTAGTTTAAAGTCTTTTTCCATTCCCCCTTGTCCCGTCACAACTGGCCCTGCTAAAAAGTCTGCCACCATCTTTCTTAGAAGCCCCAGTATTATATTTAGAAGTATTGCAGTACTGACAGGCTGCAAGGTCTCCCCGAAGCCTTCTCTTCTCCAGGCTGAACAACCCCAACTCTCTCATGAGATAACTGAACTCTGTGCAGAGCCCAGCGGGTGCCAGTGCTTGTGAAAGAAGGGGAAGAGATGGGAGTGGAAGAGATCAGAGGTGGAGGACCTTACCCTTTAAGCAGTGGTAAGCTATTACATACCTGACATCATCCTTTGAGTCACGTATTGATTTGTCATATGCGAGACAGTATTAAAAGGACACTATCAGCTACAGTAATAAAACAACGCTGAACAACACTTTTCATGTAACAAACATTTGCACTTAAGAAATCTGTGTATATATGCACACTGTTACTTAGAACAGACCTTCAACTTATGAAATTAATTTTTAGTTACCCAGTAATTTGAGATAACTGGAAAAATCAGCAAAAAAGTGCAAATTTTAATTGTCAGTTTTATTGTCTAGTTTTCAGTTCAACAGCGCATAGGTTAAAAAAAATAATAAAGTGAAGCCCACCATATTTAATTCTTTTTTGCTGAAGCTAAGACAAAAAATATCAAATAAACCATTCCATTTTAAAAGTAAATATCTGATAAACCCCTATATCTTCTAAAACAAAATTAATTTAAACCCTTAATTATATAGCAGAAACTGAATAAAATAGTTAAGCAACTAAGTACAAAACAATACTTACATCAAGTACAAGTGAAGTACAGCTCATGGCTACCCATTAAAACAAAAAAAAAAAAAGGAAAAACAATCCACACATATTCTAGGTTTTGGAAATTCTGACAGGAAATTACAAAGCTTTTACCATATTTTGAAGAATTCAGTAATATTACTTGAGAAAGAACATTTTAGGAATGTACACAGTTTCTTGCCATTTTACAAACAGGCAGCCTACCTTGACAATGAGTTCTTCCGTTGCCTACAAATCCATAGTTACAGATGCAGACACTTTTTCCTTCAATTTGATGACATGTAGCATGAATGTGGCAAGTTGCACAGACATCTGGAACTGATCTGTTCACAACTGCTTCAAGAACAAAAAGATGCATTACTTTTTTTTTTTTTTTTTTTTTTAAAAAAAGGACCAAGGTGGTCTGGTATGGGTAACTGGCACAGAATTTGAAGTGGAGATAAAGTCCAGACTAAAACACATAGAATAAAATCCCATCTCCTCTGACCTCATTTTCAAACTTGCAGGAAAACCACAGACATAGTGTTCAAAGACCAAAAATAAAAAAATAAAGGATTAAACAAAAGTAGTACACTGAACAGTTTTCTCCATCCATCTATTCTTTGACAACAAACAAACAAAACAGCTTTTCAGCAGTTAGCAAGGCTTACCAGACATATAATATACAGTTCTATCCAATATTCTTAACCTTTTCTCTATATTGATTTTCTTTTGTTTTTGTCCTGATTTCTGTTTCCTCATTTATTCTATTATTTTGTTTCTATTATTTATGTATAGTCATTTCAGCTATTTATCAATCTATTTGTATCTTCTATCATCAACATGTATATGGTATAAATGTCATTCATAAAAACGATGTTAAGAATGCTGCCAGTAGGAAAATGACTTATAAAGTCAAGTCATTTTAGAAATGAATTTATATGAGAAGTAGTTTAGCAGCGTATGACACACAACCTAATTTACTGTAATTTACAGGGCTATAAATATACATGAAACTAGAATAAAATATGAACTTAGTCCCTTACTTGTATTCATACTTATAGTGCATTATGTGCATTTCTCTCCATTTTTTGTAAGCTCTTTTCGTTAGCTCTGCATATGCACTGGCTTTCCAAATGATAAACCTCAGAATGGACAGCTTGAATGTAGACAAAGCATGTATATGCTTACACACTTTTTACATTTTTAAAGAAATAACTAATACTGCACAAGCTGATGTTGTCTCATGATGGTGGACATCACAGTACGGAATTTTTTACTCTTCTAAGACAGCTAAGATCGATAAGGATGGCGTGGTCCTTACAGAATACAAATCTTACTGCATGTATAGCAGCTCTGAGAAAATTTTGCATGCCTTTACATGTGTCTAAATACATAAACGTAATGGGACAGAGAAGGCAGCTGAACACTCTAGCTAGCTTTTTTTACGCACCAAATTTATCAGTGTGATAAAACTGCCCTTCCACACATACAGTGTTTCAGCTTTACTCACAGCGCACTTCTGAGGGCCTTAACACTTGCGGGAAGCATCATTGATTCCTACTCCTAATTCTCAATGCTTTTATATACTTTTTTGGTATGTGTTCCTAGTAAAAACGGGGAACGAAAGCTGTCAGCACGCAATGGTAGCCAATGCACATCAGAAAATTAAATTTAAAAACAGCCACGGTAAGAACTTTCTCATGATACCTCAATCTTCTGATAAGACATGGGAGTGTCCTCCTCAGATTGCTGCTCCGGGAGATAAAAAACGGTTTTTTTTCCCCCCCCTTACTACCACAGACGAAACTTT